TGTATGTGGGATCCGTTATGTAGTTAAATACTATCTGGAATTTAGCAGGGAAAAATAGAAAAATATACTACAATAGGTCATACATTATTATTGGAGGGTAACTTGATAGTAATGATGAGAAAAAAAAAACATTGGTAATACCTTGATTTGGCACGGAAATGGTGTAGATTAACATTATCATCGGTTAAAAGGAGTTCATGAAATCCATGAATTTAACAAATTTGGAGAACATGTTTTCTGCCAGAGTATTTTGTTCGGTTTTACCGGTTGTAGAATGTGAACTTCGTTGTCTCTGTGCTGGTAAAAACAGTTTATCTTTATCACCATAGCTCTGCTTGTCTGGGTCACGGTGTTGAGTCTTCCCACTTTTCCGAGGTATTTTGTTGTTTGCTGCGTGGTGGCGCTGCTGTGATCCGCGTTCGCTGTTTAATTTACGATATGGAATCGGGAATCTCTTCGCATTTCTGGTGTTGTTATAAACTTGATCTTTCCTATCTAAAATTCCGTTCCCGTTTTTTCGTGGGTAATCTATCGTGTCTAATTTTCTTATCTCCTCTTTGATGGCATAAACCAATTTAGCAGTACCTCTGGGGTTGATATGAATTCCATCACGAGCATAGAATTCTTGTGTTGTCGATAGGGGGTTGTATTTTATAACATATACGTCGGGACGAGTTGCTTCTTTCGATAGTAGCTCATTAAATTTGTCTATCCTGTTATTTATCATTTTGTTGTCATGTCGTTTGATTACTTCAGACTCCATTACCAGTGCGTTTGATAACTGCTTTCGTGTTATGTTGACAAGTTCGATAGCTCTGTCCAGGCATTCTGTTGGGGTCACATCTTTCAAATCGTTAGTTCCGAGATGGTATATCACAGTATCTACAGTAGTAGAAGTGATTTCCGAAATGGTTTTGCAGGCTTGTTTGAATGTCGGTATTCTAATGTGGTTTGTCGAATTTCTAGGAAACATGCGCGACACGTCCACGTGTTTTGTTATAGAGTCGCCTACCAAAAGCTTTTCGACTTTCGAAATGTTGTTTTTAATTGGCATACTAGTATCTGTGGTATCTCTACAGACTTCCTCCCAGCGTATACTAGTACTGGTACTACCAACTCTAACCATGTCCTCATTTAGTGACGCATGTCACGCTGAAAATGGGCATCAATACTCATTTCGCCCAATATTTTGCTTTTATAGCATTTTAATCAACAGCATATCAAACAACCAATGTCAATAGAGTAGCTTAGCTGTTAAAAATGGATTAAGTACTGGCAAACCAACTTCTGCATAGGTATGTCTCTAAACGCATGCTTTTTGGTTGATATAGTCATCTTTTTTGAACTCAGAAGCCCACAAAACCTAATATTACATGTAAGAACGAAACAAATCCGTCGAGATTTTACATTTTCCCTGTAAAGGGGATGCTGGCTGTTCCCTATCTGGACTCCCTCCCCGCGTATACTAGTACTGGTACTACCAACTCTAACCATCACCTCATTTAGTGACGCATGTCACGCTGTAAATGGGCATCAATACTCATTTCGCCCAATATTTCGCTTTTATAGCATTTTAATAAACAGCATATCACTTAATTTCCGACCGGAAAAACAACCATGTTTTATCCCTTGTTTTTCTCACTCGCTTATTAAAAACACTGACCGCTTGTTCAAACACTGAACACTGGCACATGAGTTGTCGAAATGGTTGTTTTAGTACTAAAGTTTGAGGATTCAACGAGTAATAACCATTATTCAATTTCAAACGACACTTCCAAACCATCATACTTTGTTTTGTTTGTGAACGCAACTTGAACTATGACCTCTTGTTATGTGAACGTTCCACAACAAGCTGATAGAGCGAGACTGTATTTCGTTTGAATCCAGGGCTGCTACCTCGTTTCAACAATATGATTATCGAGACAATTACGTGATACAGGCAATGCTAACTTCTTAGGGCAGAGAGCAGAGACACCAGGAACATATTGATGCCACCGCCATGTATTTAAGGTGCGACCTTGCAGACGAGCAATATTTCTGGGTTCGCGCGCTTGAAAAAATAAGCGAAAATTATTCAACAGGCGGTTGCAAAAGCGATAAAAAATGATCGAAAAGCAGAAGCGAGCAGGAGGTTGGGTGAAATTAGTGCTGTACATTCAGGTCCTTTGTAAAAATAATCGGCCAAGATCTATATCATTATGAGGCACGCTAGAGACAGACAAAATGCAGTTTTAAATATTGACACCGTTCGTATTTTTTAAATGAGTCAAACAATAAATAAATTGTATGCTGCTTAAGCGATGATGGATCGAAACAGACTCGTTTTGCAAGTTTTAACGGCTACGTTCTGCTGAAGATATAAGACTTCACTTTCGGAGTTATTACCGAAGATAATGTACAACAGCAAAAAACAACAACATTTGGTTATGTGAAATAGAGTAGCATTCATGTAGGTCCAATCAGTACTGTTGTATCGTCTATTTCGTCAACCGAACGTTACTACCCGGACCTGCTCGTCGATTATTATTGCAAATGTCATTTTTTTCCAGAATCAATTGGGTATAAGTACGTTATTTTAGAATGATTTTCATTTGGTTTCACCAAAGACAATTGTCTTTGGTTTCACGTGATAGTTAATCTGATTTATCATATAGCATTACAAACAGGAAGTCCTCGGCATGGGTCAGAGTACTAGTATACCCCAGACCACTCGTTTTGATGAATGGTCTGGGTGTGGCTTGTGGGTAAGAATAGAAAATGAATTTCGGTGAGGTTGTGATTATTTGGATTTTTGAGAACGGATTTTTACTATTGAAATGAAATTATCACGTCTAGGGGTGAATTGTTAATAGGTGAAGTGATGTTAAAAACATAAGTAGTTCATCTTCTTGCGTACACCGCAACAACAAAGGTTTATTTTCTAACACAGATCTCCAGTCAAGAGGGTGGCGTTTGGACGTAACCCCGGAGTTAAACCATAGACAATATAGTAGGAAGGACAAGCAACTCCAGCGATTCTATTGTAGCAGGGTAGGCTGGAAAAAAGTTAAGCTGATTTAAACTAACCGTTAACATAAACTAAATATTTATTTCGATTTCTCGTTAAGGTAGAGATGCCTGACAGGTATTTTAATTAGTTAATTAGGCAACCAAGATGACCTCCCTTGTCCACAAAACTATATACAGCCAAAGACAAAGTCAGCTTGGACATTCAGTTGTGAGACATGACAAAATAAACGGTGCCAGTGATAAATTTCGCGAATGAAAGAACAAAATAAACGCAATCAAAGGCGCCGACCACGCGCGTTCGAAATATATAGAACTGACGAGAAATTTCGCCTGCATCTTTCACTCACGCAAACGCACACACATGCTATTTCCTTATATTGAATACGTTGGTAACCGAAGGGACAAGTTTAAATCATCTTTGTATTAACACAACTTGAAAGCAACAGTCTCACACTGAATATATGATTATAAATTATCAAACTAAACAATAAATGAAGCGGACTGCGTAATTTCGTTGATGAGAGTCGCCTACGGTATTCCATCGGTACTCTAAATGGCCGTTGCTGATCACGAGTTCCCGTGTGTAGATGATTTGCTCGATGTTTTTTTTTCGGATTTTGATGATGGTGGAAATGATAGTGAAGAAGATCCAAACGCAGTAGACACAGCAATTCATGTTAACAACTCTGTGTGTGTGATTCAGAGCCCGGGCATCAACATCGAAAATAGCGAAGATTTGCGTTTTCTTGATCGTCACGTAAAAAAAACCCTTTGAAACGCTAACAAAAACCCGAAAATAGTGAAAATAAAATAATAAAGACAATCGTGCCTCATTTATTCACAAGTATTCGAGTTATTAATAATAAAAACAGGGTATAACGTAGGTAGACGTGCATTCAGGCTGAAAGACTGGACGTGTAGTCAAGATGGCGACAGACGTGAAAACGGAAAACGGAATGAAAGTCTATTAAAAAAATGCGAGGCAGACAACAACAAAAAACAAGTGTAGTCAGTGAAAATAACAAAATTTGACGATTCATGCATCATGAAAACAATAATATTCGTGTATTTTGTCGAATACGGGGTACAAACTTACACATGCATTCCGTTTGAAAGAGTGTGAATAAGTAGTCAAGATGACGACAGACATGAAAACGGACGGATTGAAAGTTAATTTCAAAATAAGTGCAAGACAGAGAACAACAAAAACCGAGCACAGTCGGTGGAAAATAACATAATAAGAAGATTCATGCATCAGGAAAACTAAAATATTCGAGTATTTTGTCGAAAACGGGGTACAACCTTAGACATGAATTCCGGTTGAAAGAGTGTGAGCTATTGTCAAGATGGTGACAGACGAGAGAACATACGGATTCAAAGTCTGTTTGAAAAAAAATGCGTGGCAGAGAAAATAAAAAAACGAGCATAGTCGGTAAACAATAACATAATAAGATTCATGCCCCATGAAAACAAAAAATATTCAAATATTTTGTCGAAAATGGGGTACAGACTGAATATAACATGTACGGAAACATTACTGCCGTCTGAAACTAACTTTTAATTTTATTCAATTAATTAGTGACATCGCATGGAAGTAAATATGACGTCATTGTTTACTTGCTCGTCATAATATTCCAGCTCTGCCTAAGTTTGGCATTGGTGTTACTATACTACTATACTGTCTATGGTTAAACAGGGCCCAAATTGATAGGGAGTAAAACACGGAAGTGGAAGAGCTGTCCATGCATTGACCAATCACACAAGAGCTCACAAACACCAACGAAATATTTTGTTGTTGTACTTAACAAAAGGGGTTTGGCACTAAAAACAATGGAACGTTTATAGGTTTAACGTTGGATTTAGATCGCGTTATAATCCAAATCCCCTACTAGACTTGTAGCACCAATTTTCATATGTTATGCCATAACGTTTGAATTCAAAACTCGTTTAGATTTGTACCGGATTGTTTGAACGATTTAAGTTTTGCCCGCACCAAACTCAACTCGTCCGAAATTACGGTAACTCGCCCGATACCAACCCGAAATTGACAACACCGGTATTTTTTGCGTTGAAATCGACAACGCCGGTTGAAAACGAAATCGAGTTGGTTTAGGGCGAGTAGGTTTCAGGTGCGACTTGACCGGAACCTCGTTGGAACGGCTTCTGGTCAACTCGACCCC